AATTTTTTAAATTTTTATTTCAGAATATTAAAGGGGTACAAATGTTTTGGTTACATGGATTGCTTTGTTACTGCTTCAGTCAAAGTTATAAGTGTGCCCATCATCCAGATAGTGTACATTGTACCTGTTAGTTATGATTTCACCTATTCTCTTCTCCCCCTCCCACCTACATAATTTTCGTTGAGTTTTAATCCATCTGTGGAAATGAGTGATGATCAATTAGTTCCAATTTAATAGTGAGTACATGTGGTGTTTGTTCTATCATTCTTGTAATATTTCACTTAGGAGGATGGTCTTCAGTTCCATCTAGATTGTTGCAAAAGGTATTAATTCTTTTTTTATGGCTGAGTAATATTACATGATATACATATACCATATTTTATTAATCCACTCATGAACCGATGGGCACTTGGGTTGATTCCACATCTTTGCAATTAGGTACTAATCTTTTGAGCTAGAGAGAAAGATGCAGGTTTACAGGCATGAGTGAGGACTCAAGCTCTGAGGTAGGACAGAAAGGAATGTAAAGCCATTATGAAATGGGCACGAGAGCTTAAGTCTACAGCGTATGCATCTGCTCAGCTACACCATGTCAAACATACCAACAACCTATCTCACAATGGATTGTAAAGGTTACTTTTCAGTGAAAATTTAATTATTTTTCTTTATTAAATCCTCTTATGTCCTTCTCAGTCCTGAATTGTCTTACCAACCTGAAACCTCTAGAATGGTAATTTTTAAAATCATAAAGAACAACTAACATATGCAAGCTAAATTGATCCCTTGCTTACTTGTTCTTCTATTTGCCTTGATTCTATAGTTCCCGAGTGTTAGTGTAAGGTTATATATAAATCTAAAAAAAATAATAAAATAATTTAAATAATAAATTTCCTATTTCAGTTTTTCCTACATTTGTAAAGAAGATTCACTAGGATGACAGAGATTTTATTTTTGACCATATATCCCCCAATACTTGGTGAAGAGGTTGGGATATGAATGGCAATGCCTGAATTCAGTAGGCAAGCTGAAGGTCATTTGGCCCCACAGCAGTCATATAAAAGATTCTGAATTATAAAATGTCTCCTTTCTAGTGCTCTGCTCTTTCGGAAAAGGAGTATAGCAGAGAATGGCAGTCTCACATTGTGTTGGATAAATACCCTGAGCTGAAACCAACCAATTCATTACTTTGGACCCTAGCAATAATGGCACTTAATTATTTTGAGCTGTAGAACAAATAAAAATAGCTTACAAAAAGCATAAGCAATGGACATGTGTCTAGCAATACCCTTCGTTAAAGCCCCTATTAGAAGCAATAAAACCAGCTATAAAAAAATTAGAAAGACAAGGGATAGTTTAAAAAGGATATTCACCCTGCAATACTGTCATACTTCTAGTAAGGAAGGAAGGTAAATTTGATAAAGATGGTTGACCTTTGTACAAGATCTTAAAGAAAGAAAGAAATTAACTGTTCCATTAACACCTGTAGTTCCTAATACTAGAACTTTTATAATTTTG